GGTCTTACGGTCTTGATCTGGATTGAGTTGGGATTTGTTCTCAATATTCAATTGCTCTTGTATATAAAGCTATTAAACACATACGAGTGTCTATGAATTTGTTTCTCTAACACAATGTGTTAGTTGAAGGAAGGGAAAAGTGAGAAAACAGAATGAAATCTTGGAGATGGGCTTCAGGACACACTCTCCTTTGTCTCTTGGGGACAGCTCACCTTGACTGTGAAGCCTAGAGGCCCATTGCATCCGTTTCTATTTCTGGAACATGCAGGGAGCGCCTGCGAATAGCTTTCAGACGGCCAGAGAGGAGGACAGCAAAGGTGGGACTCGGAACTTGGGACTGCTTTGTCTTCAAGCTCCGTGGGTGACCTGCTCCCAACTCTGGGATGGATTTCTTCCAGCTGCACACGCAGTTTCTCCAGTGCTTGGCTCCAGTGTGTGCTTTTGTTCTACCCTGGCAAGGGCGGTCAAAGCAAGTTTGAGAAAGGGGTCTGTTATGTAAAAAGGGCTTTGCTGCCGGGAGGGAGTGGCTCAAACTGAAGGGCCTGCAGCTATGAGCAGGCTCTCAGATTCAAAGCACATGCGTGGTCGCTGCCCAGGTTTCTTGTCTTTTTCTGCTTCGAAAAACTACCTTTGCGTCTGGACTCCTGCAGTAGCTCTTCCCTTTCTCCCACAGGAGAGAAACAGAACTCTCAGAACCGAGTCTGCTTGTTTTCTGCCCAGGGGCAGCAGGAGCTTCCCCCTCTGCCAGTCTAGACCCTGGCTAAGCTCTCACTGCCAGACCATTCCAGCCCATGGGATTGCCATGTTTATGAATTCCGTACGTCTTATTTTCCCCCCATATGTTTGAGAAGCACTTTTATGTCACTAAAGACTCCAAGTCCATTTCAATTTCCTTTTTTTTTTTTGAGCCACTCAGACCACTATTTAGAGCCAAAGGGTAAGGAATCTAGAGTTTTTTTTGTTTTGTTTTTAAGGCTGTGAGTCTTCCCTCCGTTTTTTGTTTTTTATTCAATTTGGTTTTTAAAGAAGCATATTCAAAAGGGTTCACAACTCATCTCAGCAAATGAAATCGGTAATAATGTCCTATTAAACCCTCTTCTAACTGTAGTTCTCTTTCCACATATCTTCTCTCAAGGCCACAGAGTATGATGATCTTAACTGAGCTCATTTCACCCCTCACATGTGTTTTTGAGGACAGGAAGCCTATCTTTAATTTCCTTGACTTTCTCCCAGCAACGTGGGGAAACCAAACAGTCCTTTTCCATATCGTTATACAGAGCTTTGAAGCCGTTGGTCTCTGCAAATAGGACTCTGAGATTTCAAGAAAGCCATGATGGAAACTGTTGTCTAGGGGTTAAGGGAAAAGCCAGCACAGAGAGAAGGAACACACTGGAAGGCATGAGAAACTTCTCAAAATATACCACCAGCTACTCCTCCGGAAAAAGCTTTCTGCTCTCGTGAAGAGTTAGTCTTGGAAACTCACAGAGGCAGTTCTACCCTGCCCTATAGGGTTGCTATGGGTCGGCATCAACTTGATAACAGTGAGTTTATTTTTTTGTACATCACCCCACCCAGAAGAAAATCTCCTTTAACTTGCTTCTAGAAACCTTAAATATGTATACTTAAACACATTGACATAGCACATGCATTTTACACACACGCACACACACACGTGCGCACACACATACACATGCACACTCACACTCACACACACTCCTTAACCGCTGTTCACCTAACATACTGCCTTCAAGTTGGTTCTGGCTTATAACTATATAAGGTCTCTGAGATTGTAAATCTATAGGAACAGAC